ATCCTTTAAAATTCGGAGTGCATAATGGTGTTGGCATAGGGAGATGCCCTTGGAGGAACGAGCAACCTCCAAACCCAAAAGATATTTGGCTGGACCGAGATTTTTAAGCCTAAACTTGTTGTCCAATAGAGATGTAAAGTGCTGCATTTCATGAAAATTGTTAGAAACAACAAGTATGTCATCGACATAAACTAGCATGGCAGTGAAAGAAGAGTCTGAATGCTTCACAAATAAGGAATAATCAGATTGGGACTGTGTGAACCCAAGAGAGAGCAAAGTAGAAGAAAATTTGGCAAACCATTGCCTAGATGCTTGTTTGAGACCATACAGTGACTTGTGTAAATGGCAAACAGCATTGGGAAGAGACTCCCCCTTACCATGATAACCAGGGGGTAAAGTCATATATACCTCTTCAAGGAGCTCTCCATGTAAAAAAGCGTTATTGACATCTAACTGAATTAGATGCCAATTTTTGAGTGCAGCAAGAGCAAGGATCACCCGAACTGAAGTAAGCTTGGCTACAGGTGAAAAAGTGTCAGAAAAATCAACTCCCTCTTGTTGTGTAAACCCCTTGGCAACCAAACGGGCTTTGAACCTTTCAACAGAGCCATCAGAATTGTACTTGACCTTATATACCCATTTACAACCAATTGGGGATTTTCCAGGAGGAAGAGAGACAATTGTCCAGGTCTTGTTATTTTGTAAAGCCAATAATTCATCTTGCATGGCAGATTGCCATTCAGGGAGCTGGGAGGCTTCACCATAGGATGTAGGTTCAAAATGATTATGCAGGGAATTAACAAAGGCAGTATGTGTAGGGGAAAGCTTTGAATAAGAAAAAGAAGCAGAAAGAGGATGGGATGTGGAAGAGGAACAGATGTAAGTATCTAAGTGGCTAGGAAGCTTTCTAGTTCTAGATGGTCTAGAAGAAACAGTAATGGGGCTGGGAGGAATGGTTGGAGTTGATATAGGCAGTGGGGTAATTGGAGAGGATGAATTTTTGAAAGGAAAAATGTTTTCAATGAAATTGACATCTCTTGAGATAAAAGTGCGGTTGGAGGCAATGTCAAGGAGTTTGTATCCTTTATAGCCAGGTGGATATCCTAAAAATACAGCAGGTACAGCCCTAGGGGAAAATTTGTGTCTGTGTTTGGGTAGGGTGGAACCATAGCATAGGCAACCAAAAATGCGAAGGTGGTCATAGGTGGGAGGTTTGTGAGATAGGATTTCAAAGGGAGATTTATGAGAAAGCAAAGGGGATGGGGTTCTGTTAATAAGGTATACAGCTGTTAACACACAGTCTTGGCAATATTCCAGGGGAATATTGGACTGAAAATGCAAGGCGCGAGCAACATTTAAAATGTGCTGATGTTTGCGCTCTACCACCGAGTTCTGCTGCGGTCTATCAACATAAGAGTGAAATAGTTGTATACCCTTGGAAGAGTAAAAATCAGACAAAAGAAACTCAGGAGCATTATCACATCTTATTGACTTGATGGCAGTATTATACTGATTTAAAATGAGAGCATAAAAATCAATGAAAGCAGAACGAAAATCAGATTTGCATCGTAAAAAATATGTCCAAGTGAAGCGAGATGCATCATCAACAATTGTGAGAAAATATTTTGATCCTTCAACAGAAAAAGGGTGAAATGGACCCCAAATATCACAGTGAATAAGAGTAAATGAAGAAGAGGACAATTTGGGATTTAAAATAAATGGTAAGCGTTTTTGTTTGGCCAAAGGGCAAACGTTACATGTATGAGATGCATCTAAAAGTGATGTAGTGTGTAAAACATCTTTCATTGAATTTAAAACAGAATAGGAGAGGTGACCTAAACGAGCATGCCAAAGCTCAGAATTGCATGAATTTACAGAGAGACAGAGGGGTGGGGGAATACAGGAATCAGGAAAAAAATTGGATGTATCAAGGACATAAAGACCTTCATGACGCTTAGCAATCCCAATCGTCTTGGCCGTTATAGGGTCCTGTATCAAACAATGGGAGGAAGAAAAATTAGCGATGAGAGACGAATCACGGGTCAGGGAGCTAATTGACAAAAGGTTAAAACGAAAAGAGGGGACAAATAAAACATTTTGGAGAGTAAAGGAAGGAGACAAAATAATGGAAGCAGAGCCAGTTACAGGGACAGACGTACCATTAGGAAAAGAGACAATAAAAGCAGTGGAAGGAGGTAAGATGGAAGAATTAGAAAACAAGCGAGGAGAAAATGATACATGGTGGGTTGCACTAGTATCTAAAATCCAACAAGAATCAGAAAAAGAAGAAGGACGCTTACCATTGAAGCTTGCGACAGATGGGGAGGAATCAGTGACCGAAGCTAAGGAGGAAGTGACCGGAGCAGCAGAACGTTGGTGGATGAGCGATAGAAGATGCGCATACTGAGACTGTGTGATGGCAGCTGAGGGTGGTGGAGCGTTGTTAGGGTTCACAGTATTGGGGAAGTTAGGGATCGAAGAATGAGGGTGAGGGAATGGAAACACAGAGGAATTGGCTTGGGCTGAGGCATTGGGTGAATGGGCTGAGTGGGTGGGCAAATTGGGCCTAGGTGGCCTGGGCCTGTATCCAGGAGGGAACCCATGGAGCTTAAAGCACTTATCTCTAACGTGACCCTGGTTGTGGCAGTAGGTACAAAATGGGCGAGAGCGGCGAGGAGCGGTGACGGCAGCCGTGGCTGGCGGTGGGTTCGAATCAGTTGAAGAAGGACGGTTAGGGGATGTGGATATTGAGTTGAGGAAGGGTGTATCAGGAGAGGTGGGAGCATGAATGTTGATTTGGCGTTGCCTCTCTTCCTGAAGAACAAGTGAGAAAACCTTGGCAATTGATGGAAGAGGATCCATTAAGAGGATCTGAGCTCGCACAGAGGAGAAGGACTCATTAAGGCCCATGAGGAACTGAAGGGCATCATGTTGCTCTTGTGAAAGCGAAACTTGTCTCAGACCTCCACAAGTGCACGAAGGAGTGGGAATGTAAGCCTGGAGCTCATCACAGAGGGTTTTTAACTTTGTGTAATAAGAGTTGACATCAAGAGATCCTTGATGAAGAGAAGAAATATCTTGTTTCAGTTGGAAGATGCGTGGTCCGTCGGCTGCTGAAAGCGAGTGCGTAGATCATCCCAGGCGTCAGAGGCATTTGAGAAATAAACCAAGCTATCTGCAATAGCTTTGGAGACAGAATTAAGGATCCAAGAGATGACCATTGAGTTGCACCGATTCCATGCTGGAAATAGAAGATCGGAATTGGAAGGACGGGGAAGAGATCCGTCTATGAAAGCTGATTTGTTTTTGGCAGTAAGAGCCAAAAGCATAGCTCGGTTCCAGGAGCTGTAATTGGTACCATCAAGGGTATGGGTCACAAGGACAAGACCAGGGTGATCACTGCTCTGGAGGGAGTAGGGGCTTGCTGTATCCTCCATTGAAGAAGCACCGGAGGACATGTCGGAAGTCGACGGAGGACGGTTGTTGCCTCGAGCCATCAAAAAGCTCTTGATACCATATTAGCTATTTGAGCACTCTGCATTTCCAGAAAGGAAGAGAAGAAAAACTTACTTTGTATATTTTCATTCAGTGTGTAATTGGTACAAATGATTCAGTATATAAAAGCACCTAAGAGAATCTGTTGTAACAAACTCATGGTGACGTGGCTACAAAGGGGAAAGAAAGGCTAACAGGTGCCAAACAGAAAGCAATGCTAACAAAATGTTAACCGAATACAAATTGCTAACAGAATACAATCAGAAAAAGAAAAATATGTAATACTGTAATAATATATATGCCACTACTTGGAGAGCATTCCATTGGATGCACTAGAATCACATTGTAGCTTATCAGTAAAATATAAAATATAATATAAAATATAAAATTTATTTTTATTTTTTTGGCGCAATGTATTTGCGCTCGGGGTATGATAGATTTTTCCCACCACGTGGATTAGCATTTTTAGTAATGTGGCAAGAAAAAATGATTTGTCATGTGGCAAAAACTACCATGAAGTGTATAAAATATAAATAGCTTTTTTTTGTACATATATAAATATCTTTTATGTACTCTTCTTTGATCAATTGTTTCAACAAAGGAATTAATGTTTGTCTAGATATTTTTAATTTTTATACATATAAAAATATGTTCGCTTTTTCTGTAATTAATGTAGATAAATTATTTGCAGTTAATGCAAATAAGTTATCTGCAGTAAGCCCAATACGACGTTATTTTGGGACTGAAATCATGGTATTTTTGTAATTTTAATTTATTTCAGGTTATTATATTCTTTATAATTATAATTTTCTAATTTTTCAATTCCAAAACGACGTCGTTTTGGAAGTAAATGCAGATAATTTATCTGCATATCTGCATTAATTGCAGAAATATTTTTCTGTATAAAAATATGTGAAATTCATATTTTTTTCCTCTCTTCTTACATGAGCCTTGCACATTTTAATCCTTATAACATGATAAACATTAATTCTTTCAACAACAAAAATGTCATTCTTTGGTCAAAATGAAAAGTGAAAACAATCAGATCTGTTTGATAGTGGTTTGATTTTTTTGTTCTTAAAACTATTTTATAAAATAATTATAGAAACAAAGAGGGAGGATATTTTGACTACCAAAAGTTTCCACTACCACCTTACTACCTATCTAATCACCATTGGATTAACATTTTCTCTCTCTTCAAAAACTTTTTAACATTCTCTCTCTTTGATCAAATGGTGATTTGATAGGTAGTAAGGTGGTAGTGGACACTTTTGGTAGTCAAAATATCCCCCCTCAGAAACAAATAGTGGTTTTCTGTATTTTTTTATTTAGTAAATTAAGAGTCAAAATACGAAACAAAAATAACTCAGACATGTTTTTTAAATTTGATTCTGAAAACAAAAAATCAATTATAATTTTTAAAACTTTTTTTATATAATAGATCTTATCAAACGAATTTTTTATTTTTTTATTTTTTTTTTAAAATCAAAAAACTGTTTCTAAATACAGTATTCAAACAAGTCCGATCTTTTTTGGAAGTTATGCTTCCGAATGTCCCTTTTTATGCCTCTCTCCCAATTTAATCAATGTTGTGAAGAAATGTCACAAATCTTATTCATAAATATACAATCACCATTTAGAAGAGATACTGAGGGGCTGCTATTATTAGTTGCTGCTACATGTCATGTAAACCTACATTTTTATTTTCTTGTTAAAGAATTTGGCATAGAAATAACACCAAACTATGACTACGCAGCTTCTGCAAATCCTATACGGAGATTGCCATAGTCAAACACTGTGTGATATGCCCCCAAGAAAATGTCTCCAAGTACCCTGCACATATACTACAACTTTCATATACTACACAAGAGAGGTAATAAACAAAATGCATGCAGCTGCCTCATTTCTGCAGTGATTTAGGAGCATAATAATTTACACTTAATCAAAGAAAGACATTAACAATATAATATGAATGAATTACCAGAGGGGACCCTGTGGGGGAGCAACATCTAGAGCAACAAAACCACCAAAGCAGACAGTAGAACAGCCTGCTTCAACTCTAAGGATATACTGAGAAGGAAAAAGGGAATATTAAATGTCTGAAAGATTAAGAAACAGAAACCAAATATGGATTGCAGCAAACAACTGAAGCTTTACTATGCTTAGTTGTAAATACATTTTTTTATGGAAAGGGATAGAAGCATATATGAGAAAAAGTTGGAGACAGCCAAAGAAAATTGAGGTAGGTATATGATATATAAATACATTATGAATGATCAATTTTCTAGAGCCAAGGCACTGATGTAAAAACAACAGAGAATTCATGTTGATCTAACAAGGAGAACGCCCAAAAAAATATGATAAAAAAACTTAGACCTGTTCTGGAGATAGAGGAAAGGATTTGTTTCCAATCTTGAATGTAATATGTGGCATAGCTGCAATGCTATTGCAGTTTATAAATGATTGTCCCACGGGATTTGGAAGCTTCTCACACAGCTTTTACAGAAGGAAATTGAGAAAAAAAAATAAAAAATATTGTGAGTGCTAAATTGGAAACATAAAGTGATTAAATATTCAACACTAGTATTATAAATAAGAAATTCTGATATGTAACTATTGCAACAATTACCTTATCTATATGATTTAATACTTTTTCCTTTACATTGCTTTGCTTAAGCTGAACTTGAATCCAAAGGACAATCATATCACAGAAAGCACAAAAGGGGCTCTCCTTGGTGTGTGACCCATCCCAACTTTCATTATACACCACTGTTTCAATAATGTCACTGCAGGTTAAAGTTATACTTTTGTTAAGAAAACCGAAACCAAGGAATGTGTCTCAAAAGAATCAAAATTTGGAAATGAAAAATTGTACTCCATCATATGAGGTCCATTATGTGAACAGAGTCCAATGTCAACGCATATAATTTCAGGATTTAACTGCAAATATGAGATATAAGAAGATATGTATAGGATGGTTAAAATTAGAATAAAGCTTGGACAATCATTGTGAGTACAAGCGTAAAAAGACAAAGAGAACAAACCCCAGAAATCAAGGATTCCCATATCAAATCGCCATAGTTATGAACTATGTTTTTGCACTCAAAACTCACATATCCTTCTGCTCCAATGGCATGGTTAATTTGAGTCACAACACTCTGCAAACAAGAACTAGTAAGAAAAGGACACCAAAGGAAAAGGGAACAAAGCAATGTATCAAAAGATAGAAGTATAATGTTTGAGAGCATACAGTTGGACCAGCAATTAAAGATGTCCCTGAGTCCACAATTGCAGCACAGCCACCCTCACATAACCCTGTGAAATTTTTCACACAATTTTCCGTTGTGAGTTAGGTCTAAGGCAATGAAGAAAAGTACCAAGAATTGCAATAGTGCATGTTGGCAGTTAAAACAGTAATGCTGTTAAAAATGAACCAAGAGGACAAGTTAAATTGAAAATCAACAATTGATGCATGAGTCCTTTTAGTTCTGTACAATGCCTGTGGAAATTTGAATGGCTTTTCTTGAAAAAGTATCAATCTTTCTAACCTCTTAATATGATACAATCTTTAGCTACTTTAATCTCTTCATACATAGTTTAACACACAACTACAAGAAACAATGAAATTCAATGCAGCTAAAGGTTCAATCTGACTAGAAATTTAAGAGGACCTGTTGAATTATTTGCAAGTAGAATATCTCCCACCTCAATCTGGAGGTGCAAACACCAAAAGTTAATAATGACAAGGTTGATGATAAGAACTACTGATGAAGTTCTTAGTATAATATACCTGCCAATAACCCTTCTGAGAAAGTGGAAAATAAGTATGGTCACCTATAAAACGCCTTGAGTCAATACCACCAAAGACAATCTCACCCCCTATCTTTGCCATTGGGTCTTGATTTAGCCAAAGAGAGAAAATTTTCTTAGATAAGTGCCCTTGCTCTATCATATTATACCTGTAGTCACAGAACTAAATCATTGTATTTGAGGCATCAAAAACTTTAGAAAAAAGGAAGAATTAAGTTTTTCTTTTATCCTATTACTACCAAAATACAATCTCACTACTAATCATGAACTCTTGTTCACTAATTTGAAAGGGAAAAATAAAGAATTATAAGACAGATAAATGAACAAATGAAGTTATCATGAGCACAGGTGTACCACACTGGCGTAACTTTTCCAACTGAAATATCCTGGAATCCAAGTCCAAGTATCCCATCAAACGGAAGAACTAAAAGTGCCAAAGATCCTTCCCTTATAATCTCAGCAAATTCCTGAAGGATGGAAACTAACCATCCATCAGTGCAACCAAATAGGCATATAAACTCAATTAATCACAATACTGATTGAAAAGTTAACAAGTCAAAATACTGACTTGATCTTTGATGATGATATCCCCAACTTGTACATTATCTCGGCTGAAGAATCCATATATGGATCCTTCCCCATAAGGGATTTTGCAAGGTATTCCTGGATATATTCCCAAAAGCAACTTTAAGTATGTACACTATAACAAACATAGCTCTGTTTGTGCATATAAAACCAAATAGAAGCACCTAAAAAAGAAACATTTATATTTCAGATTAAATGTCATGGTAATCCATAGTTACCAATTTCTGTATAGGTGCTAGAGATCCTCGACCTATACTTGGAATGCAAATAGCAAGCGATCTGCATGTGTCATATTAGCAAGCTAATTCATAAGACAAAAATCAAAGGAGTATTCAATTGCATCAGATCATGTGATAACTTACAGAGAAGATGCATTTGGAAGATGGGACCCAAAGATTCGAGCTGCCAGTATCAAACACAACATTGAAGTATTGTGGCGGTGAACCAATACTAATTTCCCCAAAATATTGTGCATCAAGATAATTCTTAAGATATACTACATTTTCAGTTAAATAATGTTTATCAACACTCCCTAAATCTTTGGGATTACCGGCCTCTTTGATTCTTGCAGCATTAAGACTGTGGAGATCTAACTTCCTCCTTTTTAGACTTACCTTCATCAACCCATCATTAAAAGTTGTAGAAGCCAAGGATCCTGACCAATCCCAAAGACACATAACAACCAGCAGATACTTGATACCCATACTTACAACTCATCTGGTTCAACATGTTTAAAAAAGTTCAGCATAAGCAATATAAAGAGTGACTGATTCATTACAAAATAATCCCAAAATAGACTAATATCATTTGAATTAGTATCAGAATCAAAACATAAAGAGGTTCAAGGTACTGAGACAAATATTAGAAGTATATAATCAAAGCTAAAAGCAAGTATTAGAGACAAACTTGAAAATTTCATACCTAATGATGACAATTACTTTTAAGGCCAGAAGCTGAGCTAAGCTAACATCTTTCATATATAAATTTAACCATGGTACCTAATAGCAACTGGGTATGAAGTTTGAACAATTCACAAATACCCGTCCCTCAAAATCAAATTTTACCCATTTTTTTATGTTTCAAGTACTTTCGATGATGAAAAGGAACAGTTTAACCTTACATGGAAACCGCTGCGTAGTTTCGCTTAGGATAATGTTATTTTCAACACGTTAAAAGAAGCGGAAGTAGCTTCAGAATTTTGTCGCATACAATAAATAGAGAGAAAGACCTTCGTTCGAAGTAGACATGCTTTAGTTAGAATGCTCTAACACGTGGGTACAAAACGACCAACCATATTAGTGTATTTTTTAGAATCCACAAGGCCAATTGATTGATTTAGTACTTGTTAATGAAACAGTGTTGGTTAGGTTTTGTAACTGTAAACTTTCTGCCCAATCTAAAACCAAAATATTTATTTAATATACTAATTGTAGACGCGTGATGCACGCGTTTTTATAATATACATTATTTATTTCTCTGATTATGTTCTATATGTCAACTTAGGAAGATTATAAAACGATCACAAAATGAATTAACTTGCCTTAGATTAATTATGTAACTAATGTTACCTGTTTTTGCCTATCTTTGTGGCAAAACTTAACAGTTTCTGAAAATTTTCTCTTCATGATAGAGATTATGCAGTGCCAACCGGAATTAGTTCGGTTAAGCCGGTAAACTGATATTTGAATGTGATAAGAGCAAATAACTATTACATGTTGGCATAACCCTTGTCTACATCAATCTGAACTTAAACCTTACTAACTGCACTATTCCATGTGGCTAACGTTATACGAATAACTCTTGACAGATAAAGTAGACAATTATTACTATAGTATTAGATTGGGTTAATCTTTTCTCCTTGTACGATAAAAGAACCCCATCCAGCTAATCTGTCAAAATTCCTCCCACTTATTTTTTTTTTTATTATAATTAGGTGGGCCCCATGTGTTTTTTGTATCTACTTATCATAGGAGAAAAGATTAACCCTATTCGATTTATTAAGGGTGTTCAAAATGTTCAAAAAAACCAAACTAATCCATAACAAAACTACTCCATATTTTAAAAATCGGTTATTTTTAAAAATTGGTTTCAAATGAAACTATATTTTATTTTATAAACAGGTTATTTACCGAATCATAAAAATAATTGGTTATCATGGTTATCCATAACCAAACTGCTTTACAATTAAAGAACAAATAAGTATTATCTTTTATCATGCCTATTATATTAGTCAATTAACTCAAACTTTCAAACAATAAACTAGCAAAAAAAGTTAAGCAGCTCCAGTAGAAAATATTTATTTAAAAAAAAATTACACATAAATCGAAGGGTCGCATCCTAAGAAAGAACTTCTTATGTAACGTAACAACTTTTTTTCCCAAAAAAAAAAAATAACCACATACAGACCTCCGGGTAAACTCACAACTTGACAAAGCAAATACTTTGAAATGGCAAAGATGAAGTTAAAAAATCATAAACAAAAAGGGCAACAAAATTAATCAATTGACTTAACATCTCTGAGATGTTTAAGATGATGAATCAGCATCGTTAAAAGGACAACTCACAACGGATTTACTTATTTGTTCTTTAATTATCGAGCAGTTTGGTTATGGATAACCAATTATTTTTATGGTTTGGTAAATAACTAGTTTATAAAATAAAATACAGTTTCATATGAAACCGATTTTTAAAAATAATCGATTTTTAAAATGTGGAGCGGTCTGGTTATGGATTGGTTTAGTTCTTTTGAACATTTTGAACACCCTTACCCATACCTTCCTCCATCAGTTCAAATGAAACTCTAAGTAACATAAATCTTGAGAGAACGAAGAGCAATATTTTTATAATTTTAAATTAGTTCAACAGTTCTTCTATCAATCAATCACAAAACAACGTGAAATAATTTCTATAAGAATCATTTCGTACTGAGAGTTCCAAAACAATGAAGATTCTTGCAAGAAATAGTTGGTCAACTACCTATAACCGGGAGAAACAAACGACTACTTATAAAAATAGCACAATTAATCAAAAACCGATTTTGAATTTGTTAAAAAAACAAGTTTTGAAATTGATAACCGGTTTATGGTTCATAACCGGTTTTTGATTTAAAATCGGATTTGAATTAAAACCAGTTTAAAACCGGTTTTAAATTAAACCGGTTATAAACCATAAACCGGTTTAGAAAATTAAAAACCGGTTCAGTATGAAAACCAAACCATTTAAAACCGGTTCGGTTCGGTTTTTGTTAAAATCGATTATGAACCTCTCCACGCACACCCCCTAAGATTCATCTCTTATTTTTGCGTTATTACATTTATGACCGTGTAGCTGTTAAATTCCTATAGAACTCAAATTTTATGAATAAAAAGTTGAGTGTAAAGAGATTTGTCTTTTTACTTTCGAGCAGACACAATTATTCCCTGGTGAACAAGCATGACTCTTCATTGCCGAACAGGCACTATTCATCATGATCAGTTATGTTTTATAAATATGGAAGTAAATCCCAAAAGCATGCCTTGAGTTATTTTCTTCCATATTTATAAACCATGACTGGATGAATGGTATATGTTCGGCTACGAAGAGTTATGCTTGTTCACCAGTAAATAGTTATGTTTGTTCGATTGTGAACAGACACATCTCTTCACACTCAACTTCTTATTCATAACATTTGAATTCTATAAGAATTCTAACAGCAACATCACTTCAAAATCTTTCTACAAAAATTCAGATTTTGTAAAAATTCATATACATTCTAATGACTCTACAAACTTATTTATTTTTGCTTCTTGTTGTTAATAACATTAATCTTAACTGATTTGTTGTATGTATTTACACAAAATTAACAATTCTTTTAAAAGAATGACAATATTACTTCCTACATGCTACTAGTTGCCCAAGCTTGCAAATCACAAGCCTCTACAATAGCACATTTGTCATTTCTATAGCATCAATTCATCAAGTATCACCACCGAGCACATGGATCAACTAGTAAGGGGTTCTTCCAGGTAATTTGGTAGGAAGAGTTTTGATGCCCATGTGATCATACCCGACTGTAGGATTAGTCGAATAATCGATGAACCAATGGATAATACAAAAAAATTAAAAAATCATGAAGTAATATCATTCTGATTCAATAGTACCTTTGCAACAACCTGTATATAGTTACAAAGACAGACGTAACTATGATACCAAGGAATTTAAGGGGCGTTTGGTAGAGGAAAAATTTTTCTATTCTTGGAAATTACGATTTCCAGGAATATATATGCTGGAAAAGTAAATTTTTTGAGAATGTGACCAAAAAGTTATTTGGTAGACCAAAATATTACCAGGAATGTTGGCTCAAGTTTCCTGATTCTATGTTTGGTTGATTGTCAAATATTACTGGAAATGTAGGGTAATTTTAAAATTGCATTGCTGGCGCTAGTGGCGCCATCACCGGGCTATTGGTACGGGAAGAAAATATTGCTTGAAGACTTGGCGCTAGTGGCACCATCACCGCACTAGTGACGCAATTTGCCTTAAAAAGTGTTTGCAAATCAGAATCATGAGAAAATCATATTCTGGGAAAAAGTTTCACAATCCTTGTACCAAACATGGATAAATAGGATTCCTAATATCACTTTCCCGGAAATATGAAAAAAATCATTTTACCAAACGCCCCCACTAAATTCTATGCATAGAAATTCACATGTCTTCATATCTGTGGTACCAAAGAATTTATCCCAAATATTGTGCTCAGAATTCACTAGTCTTCAAATTTAAATAACACAGTCATAGGACTTTGTTTTGGTAAGTTGGTTTGGCAAGAAAAAAAAACTAGGGTGTGGAGATTTTCTATTCTTGGAAAGTAAACAATGAATAGCTCTGTTTACCTCCATATCCAACCATCCATTCAAACAAAGCAACTACATTGTTTAGAAGTTATGAACAAAATTATTATCGCTCAAATAAACTTCAGAAAATGAGAAAAACTTCATTACATTCTATAGTAAATTTTTTTATACATGTTTAGCAAGCTTTTCTTACAAACAAATTCGGTATGGTGCTTTTCCATTTTGAACTTCTTCAAAATTTCATTAGAATACTTGTTTTGATTCTAATAAATTTTATTCTTGGATTGATGTATTTCCAAGCCTAGGAAGTAGTTATTTCTCTTAAGCTAGACATTTCAAATTGATTTTTCATCTTCTCTATAAAATTATGAACTTCTAGTTGATTATTGCTTATGTTAGTTGTAAATTTTGCATTGTTTAACACTTGTATTTTAAGTTCTGTTGGGCTGTTAATGACTCAATTTGTAGGTGAAATGGCCCAAAAAAACATTGGACAATTGATCAACAATGAATGCATATGATTCTGATAACCTTTGGTTGAACACATTGTTACTAATTAACTATTTGATATTTTCTTTAGCGTCAGGTTCATATTGTTTATTTGGAATTCCCCTTGTTACCCTATGAGATTGTCTAAGATTCATGTTATCAAGAGTAATACTATCAGTAGAGGGACCTATTCCATGAAACTTATGTGGCAAAGGACTAGAAATTACCTCAGAAGAAGGAGTTTGGAAATTTTGTGATGATTCTTCTGGCAAGGGTGTTAAACTGGGCAAATCTATTGCTACAAGTACATTATTATATGCTTCTTTTCCATTTGCAATGTCAGTAACATCAACATTATTAATAATTATTTGATCTTTCTTGTTCGCATTATGGAGGCCAGTGATAAACATGTCTTTCTCTTCACCAGTACTTTCCCCCTGAAGCGAAGACTGCGAGACTCCCCCTGATTAGTATGGCTCAGATTCACGAAAGGAGGCTTCTAGAGTTACATGGAGTTTGTGTGTGAGTAGCTCATAGAACCTATATCCTTTTTGGAAGTCTGAGTAACCCACAAAAGTAACTTCTTAGAACAAGGGTCAAGTTTGGTTTGGAGGGCTCTATGGATATGGACATAAATAGTGTAGTCAAACACACGAGGTTCAAGATTAGGAAGGTGTGGGACTGAGAGAAGAGACTCTGTTTTTTGTTTGAGAGTTTGGAAGTCAATTACCAAGATAGGGTTTGGTTGATTAGCTATGCTGCAAACTTTACATCTTCTCCCCAATACCATAAGGGCATATCTGTGCCAAACAAGGAAGAACGAACTATTTCGTC